GAATCAATTAAAGAAAGCACATAAGGAAGCTAGGAATCAAAAAGAACGTGTTGATGAATTAGAAAAAATGACTAAACAACTTGAATCCGAGAAAGATGATAAAGAAAATCAAAACAAGAATCTTCAACAACAAGTTAATAAACTTCAAAAGGATATAGAGTCTATAGCTAAAGAATTTGATGAATCTACGGCTAAATATAATAACAGTGATATGTTATCACAAGAGCAAGATAAAAAGATTAATGAATTAGAGAATGCACTTATCGAATTTAAGTCTAATGATGATTCTGCTAATAGTCCTGCCCTTTCAAATTTGACTGCAGTGAACGATGTCTTACGTAAAACGAATGAAAATCTTAACCTCAAGATTCTTCAAGCACAATCTCGAATGAAAGTTTTGACTCAAAGGATAGTGAGTTTGGAACTTGATCTCAAAAAACTTCAATTCGTTAGCAAGGATGATGTTACTGGAAAATCTGTTATACAATTCAAAGAAAGAATTGCAGACCTTGAATCTGAAAAAGAAGGATTGGAACAAGCAAATGCTTCATTCCGCGAAGAGCGTACGAAACTTGACCAAAAAATCGAATCTTTACTGTTACAATTAAAATTAGCTGGTGATGATGGAAATAAAGTAGCTGCACAATTTTATGAACTCAATGGAAAAATTATTGGCTTGGAGAATGAATTTGCTAATTTAAATCAAAAATCGGAAAAGGAAAATTTAGAGATGCAAAAGGAAATTGTAAGATTATTAAAAGTCAATGAACAACTTGAAAAGGAAATGAAACAAGCCGGAATAAAACCTAAAGTTCAAACAAATACGAAATTAGAAAATGTACCGCAACGAGCCCAAAGTTTGGATAATTTAATACATTCTAAACTTTTACAACAAGAAAGTACTATAACCCAACAAAATAATCTTATCAAGTCCTTACAAGAAAGAGTTATAGAACTTGAACTTCGTAATGATTCTGAATCTATACATGAATTGAATATTTCTGGTGGTGGAATGTTTGCCACAGATCTTGATGCAGTTGGTGGATTCCGTGCTTCAACAATGTCAAATACATCAAATATGTCAAATGTTTCTGAAACAACAAAGAAGAAACGACCATGTGTTCCAGCAGCTGTAGCAAATATGCCATTAAGTCCTCCACCTACACCACCACCAAGTTTACCTTTACCAGCGTTACCAGGAACCGGAATAAATTATGGTTCGCGGTCATCAACACCTGGATGTGTCTCACCTCCTCCACGAAATCACAGTTCTGCATCAAGACCTGAATCAAGATTAGGTCTGGCAGATCTTGCTAATTCTTCAGCAGTAGAACTTACAGTAGAAATTCACAAATTACATCGGAAGATTACTAAAATGGAAGATGAAAGCCTTGAAAATCGACAAATTGTTGAAAGTTTGGAAAATTCACTTTCCGAAAATGAGACAAATCTACGTGTGGCAAAGCAACAATTACAAGTTTTACAACGCGATAAAATGGAATTGTTAGATCAAATCAAACGTCTTAGGTCTCAACTAGATGAAACCACCACACAATTTGAAAACGCCAAATCTTCAGTACAAGAAGAGAAGAAAGTTATAGAAACTGTATTAGAGGAAGAACGAAGAGCTAAAGAGAGTGCAGAAAAAGCCAGAAGACAACTTGAAAACCGTATGGAAGAACTTATAGCCAAGAAGAGCAAATTTATGTGCTTCTAAACAAGACTTCAAAAATATCAAAATATGAAATTATTAATTAATTTAATTTTTTATTACACTATTAATTTTAGTCTTTTATTTAATTTGTTAATTTTTTTTTGTACAAAGTTTTAATATAATTTACATAATTCAAATATCTTGTTTTATGATTGATTCATAGCAATATGTAATTGTAATTTTAGTTTTAGTGAAATCAACAACAACAACAAACCATTACAAATTCACATTTAATTCATTCAATTCATTCAACTTTAATTTTTTTTTTTTTCATTTATTTTATTTTCTTATGTATTATTTTTTCTTTTTGTTTATTATAAATAGATATTTTATTATAATGATTTAGGTATAAATAACATATTATTTACATTTATGTATATTTTATACAAATTCCTTTTTACAGAACACTACACTATTATTTTTATTATTATTATTTATTTTTATATGAAAATAAAAAAATTTTTGCATTCTGTTTTCTGTACAGTAAAACGAAACTTTTTAAGTTTTTGTCTTGTAATCAACGTTTTAAGTTTTAAAAAATCAAAGCCGATCAATTATAAATAGTAGCCCTTTAATAATGAGAGAAATTGCAAGAATGGGTGGTCCCAACCAACTTAATAACCAATTCAATGAAGATGGTTTTAAATTTTTAAAAACATTTTCAACTTGTTCCTCGGTTGTTTTTATGTCTCCGGAATTTTCAATTATATAATTTGCATATTTGATTTTTTCTTTAAGTGGAAGTTGTGAATTAATTCGCTGTCTAGCAATTAATTCGGAAAAATTATCACGCTTAATCAACCGATTTATTTGAATTTGGTCAGAACTAAGGGATTTCGAATTAATAAATTTTTTATTATTCTTATTATTATTTTTAATTCACGTTGGAAAAAAAAAAGAATTTAATTAAAAAAAAAAATAAAAAAATTCTCACCAATAAACTACCACGACCGAACTCATAAATTTATTAAAACGAGTTTCAATCAATAACGGGACGTCTACTACTACCATTTTTTCACCTTTTATCCAATAACAAATTACTAACTTTAAAATTTCCATTCTAATAAATGGATGTGTGCATTTATTTAGAATTTTTCTTTTATCTTCATTTGAAAAAATTATTTCACCTAATTTCACTCTATCTATTGTACCATCTTCATTTAATATTTCACGAGTGAAATGGTTGACAACCCGTTTATATGCAGGTTTTCCTGGTTCAATTATTTGGCGTGCTAACAGGTCAGTATCGATTAATGGAATATTTCGACGAGTTATCATTCGACAAACAGTAGATTTCCCTTTTTTTTAACAGAATGAAATTAATGTTAATAATAAATTTAAAGATTTTTATTATAATAAGAAACAAAAAATATATAAATATTTATTACCCGAAGCAATTCCTCCAGTTAAACCAATAATTTTCATGGTTGGATAATCTACACTTTAATCGTTCAACTTTAATAATATTTCACGTCCTATTTATAGTAGTTTATTTTATTTTATAGTTATTGTACGACATAAAAACTAGATTTGATAAAAATTTTACTTTTTTTGCTTTTCTCTGATATTATTATTTTGAATTTGATATTATTTTGAATTTGATATTATTTGAATTTGATATAATTAAAAAAAAATGACTACACAAAAAGTTTTGAATTTTGGCCCTGGTCCCGCAAAAATTCCAGAACCTGTTCTGAAAAAAGCACAAGATGAACTCCTAAATTACAATAACACTGGTATGTCAATTATGGAACTTTCACACCGTTCCAAAGAATTCGAAAATCTTATCAACAAGGC